TGTGTGTGTGTGTGTGTGTGTGTGTGTTGTGTGTGTGTGTGTGTGTGTGTGCGTGGGGTGTGTGTGTGTGTGTGTGTGTGTGTATGTGTAGTGGGTTTAGTTTTTTAAGGCATTTCAGAGTGAGCTGGTCCAGGCTTTAAGTGCTCACTCACTCCTGCCCCACTCCTGCCCTCCAGCCTGCCTAACAGTCATAGCAAGAAGAGGAAAGGGGAACCCAGTCCTGGGCCGGATTATTCTCCTGACCATCTTGCCTGGCTGTTTTCTTCCCAAAGTGGACACAATTTCTCTCTGGATTTTCCAATCAGTGCCCCATGGGGATGGAGGCATTTTGGTAGGGAGCTGCCGGTATCCAGTGACTCTGGTAACAGAGGCCCCTGGCAGCAGGGCTCAGAGCGAGCAGAGGGCAGTGTGAGGGTTCAGGACACAGACACCATTCCTAGGATTCATCCACCTGCTGTCCACCTGTAGGATCTCCCCGTGTCACCTGCTGTCATTCAATAAATGCACTGAGCCACTACTCTATTCCAGGCCTCTGCTGGGTCCCTTAACACACCCTATTTGACCCCAACTATGACTATGACATCTTACAGCTGAGGAAAGAGGCCCAGAGATGTGAATGGCTTCACATATAGCCCCTCCCCTCACTCATCAGTGGGTACTCCAGCCTTTCTGCCTAGCTCTGAATCTCCACCCAAGGGACCAGCTGTGGCATGGTGGTAAAGACACTGGATCCCGCATGGATGACTGCACTGGTTAAGTCCTGAACCCAGTGGCTTGAGGAACACACCAGGCACATGTGCATGAGTGCCTAAAATGGAGAAGAGATTACGGCATGGCGATTACCTTGGGTGGTGAGTTCTCACGCTCTCTCTCTCTCTCATCTCTCGCTGGTGAGAGCATGTGTCCTGTAACAAACTAAAACATAATAATAAAAAAAATAGTAATAATAATGAAAAACCCTCCATCCTCACTGGGTGTGTCTTTACTCCAGTCTTTTTTTAGATTCTCTAAAGCATTTGTAAAGGAACCAAATTCATTTGCTTTTGCCCTCTTGGGAGATTTTAAATTTGCTGTCATTAGGAAAAGTGGAGTTTGGTGAGCAGCATTCACTCCACACACATAAAGGTGGCAGGGCTCGGAGAAGGCCTCCCTCACCGTCCGCCACACCTGCCAGCCAGCCGAGAGCAGGAAAGGCAGGTGTGGGCCTTTGCCCTGTGTCCAGTGGGTGGGCTCCCTAAATATGTGACAGAATGAATGAATGAATGAATGGATGGATGGAACTTGGCTCACGTGCCCTCCACATGAGCAGGCAGCTCCTCTTGTCTGTCTCTGCCTCCACTCTGAATTCCTTGAGCGTGGAGGCTGTCTCTAGCTGATAAGACAACCAGCCCAACTTGTGGCGCTGAAGAGGGCCCCATGCAGACCTGATTAAAAGTTAAGATCCAGCCCAGCAGGTGCTGTGCTGGCTGAGGTCTGGACTCCCACATGGCTGGCCATGGTTTGTGTCCCAGACCTGGTGGCTTGCTTTCTCGCTTTCTCTGCCCCGTTCTGGTCAAAGTATAAATAATATTTTATTTATAAATAAATAAATAATATTAAAAGTTTTAAAGAAGTTAGGACTCTGGGCTTCAGTAAAATCCTTTGTACTGAACCATCTTTCTGGATGGTGGCACCGTAGTAAAGCAGGATGCTCTTTGAGGCCGACACACATGGGAAGGTTCTAGATTTTCACCTTGGGACCTTCCTGAGTACACGGTATGTATGCATTCCCATGGTCTGGAGGCTGGCCGAGGTGGGTGGTAGACTGCAGTGTCAAAACATACTGGGGGGGACCAGCAGTTGGCGTAATGGCTATGTTGCTGGACTCCCATGTAGCCAACCGTGGTTTGCATCTCGGACCCAGTGGCTTAAACTCACCCCGGGCGCGTGTGCGTGCGTGCCCAAGATCCCGAGAGGAGAATGGCGGAGAAGGGATTGTGGCATGGCCATCCCCGCTGGGGGATGATTTCTCGCTTTCTGTCTCTCTGTCTCTCTCTGTCTGTCTTTCTGGTGAGCGCACGCGCCCTATAGCAAAAACCTCTCCAAACAAAAAAGAAATAAAAATACAGGGGATGCATCTCTCCTATCTCTTCTTGCTCTTGGAAGAATATAAACTAAAAAAAAAAAAAAAATCCTCCTATCTCCCATGGATTTCACACCCGACTAACAGCAGCACCAAGCAGTTGCGATAAGTGGTTTTATTACTGGTTAGATTTTACAAATTCTGATATTCGAACAGACTTCCACCTTAAAATTCTAAAACAACAAAGCGACCGTTGGAGGGGGTTTGATTTTTTTCCTTTTTTTTTTCTTTTTTCTTTTTAGGACTATTCAAAGTAACAAACTTTTTTTTGTTGTTTTTTGTTTTTTACATTTTTGCTCTGGTCATAAATATACAGAGAGAAAAAGAGGGAGAGAAAAAATGAACAAGTCATCCAAAGTATGGAGATAAAACAGTATTCCTAAGGCACGTGGCAGTCTTTGAAAATACAGAAGCTCTAGCCAACTTAAATTATTTGTTGTTTTTCCTCGCTCAGTCCACAAAACTGTACAGTGACACAAATGTTGTGTTGCAGATAGATCTTCCAAGTTATTCCTCAGTCCACACCGCGGCGGTAGCCGGACGTGCAATTATTTTCTTCCTCTGTTTCCAGGCGAGATCCTAAAATGTGGTTAGTTAGTTGCTCAAAGCCTCTATTTTAAAATACACTTGGAATTCAACTAAAGATAATTTCTTTTTTAAAGAAATCGTGGGGCGGTTGGGGGAGGGGCACGAGTCATTAGAAAAGGTTGGTAAGAGTCGTTTGTGAGGGGCTGTGAGGCTCGTGGCCCTCCAGGTTGCCAGGCACAGAAGTTAAGACGGACGTCACAGTTGGCAGGGTGGGGCTAGTCAAGTCTGTGAGGGTGGTGGGTGTGCTGGAGGGGCTGAGGGAGGCGTTGGAGAGCTCCGAGGCTGGCCCCGACGGCGTCCCCGTCTGCAGCGCCGCGTCGGTTGACTTGTCCACGCCCGTGTTTTCCTGCCGTAAGAGGTTGCGCCTGAACTTGGCCCGGGCGTTCTGAAACCAGACCTGCGTGGGATGACAGGGGAGGGCTGTTAGGGGAGGTGAGCAGGGCCCCAGCCCTGTCCCCCACCCCCACTCTAGCTTTGCTCAGAGCTCTCCAGTTTCTGTGAGATGCTAATCCATGTTTTGCCCAGAGGGGTCTAAAACATCCTCAGGCTGGAGATATTTTGTTCTTAATAAAATAAAATAAAAATTGCATTTTTCCAATAGGCTATTACTGGTATTCTCTTTCTGTGAGAAGGTTCCAGAGCTGAGCCACTCTCTCCTACGTCACAGCCACATGTGACGACGAAGCGCCTGAAATGTCACTAGCCCGATGCAGCCAGTGAGTGCCTCTAGGTGACAATGCACAACAGACTAGAAGACTTAGTTTGGAAAAAAGGAAGGTGGAACGTCCCCACAATTTTTACATTATGTGCCACGATCACCACATTTGGGATATACTGGGTTAAACAAGATACACTGTTAAGATAAAGGTTACCAGTTTCTTGTTGCTTTTTAACTGTGGCCACTAGAGCAGTTTGAGTTTAAAATCACTTGTGTGGCTGGTGCTGCATCTCGACTGGGCAGTGCAGGTCTGGCCGACACACCGAACCCAAACCAATCTTGATGGTTTTTCAAAATGGTTGAGTTTTTCTTTTCTTTTTTTTTGGGGGGGGCGGGGGGAGTGGTTTGGCAGTCTCTGCTAAACAGACAACAGATCCCACAAGTTCTTGTTGGTACTTTCAAAAGCGTTTTGTGGTCAGTAAATCTGGGAAACTTTCGAATGGCAAAGAACACGCAGGAATCACTTAACAATGAGCTATGACGACGAAGAAAAGCCCTGATCCTGTTCCCCATCATGGCTCCGAGAAGCCACAGGCTCGGGCCTCAAGGCAAAGGCGGGCGCAGCGGGCATAGCTGCCCAGTTCACACAAGGCTAAGGAGATCGGGACACTCAGACCCCTCCCCAGCCCGCCACATCCCCTGGTTCGCTTCTGGGGGTGGGGTGGGGGCACAGAGTGAGCGCTGAACTTGGTGTAGAAAGGCGGCCAACGAGGGAGAACATGGCTTTACTTTCATTTTGCCTTGGGCACAGACACCCGAACACATCCACACCCATACCCTGGCACACGCGCCTGGACACATTTGTGAAGGCAGACACGGAAACTCATCTGCACAGCCCCCCAAGGGGTCTACTGTCCGACTGCCCAAACACAGAGAGGCCGCGTACCCAGAGGCCCATGCAGTACCGTGGGAGAAGCCTAGGAAATCCCGCCACTGTGTGTGTGTTGGGGGGGCGGGGAGTTGCCTAAAAGGCAGGGCCCCTTCACTTCCCTTTGCGTGAGGAAAACACCCGCCAGAAGCCTCCCCATAAAACAAAGCCCTTGGGGAATTGTATGGATTCTGGGGTGTCCAGTTGCGAATTTCCAGATGTGTCTGCATCTGCCTGTCTTTCCAGTCAGTGTCTTAGGCAGGGATGGGAAGGGCTGACTCCTGGCCGCACCCCTCTTGCGACCACCCTGGCTGCAGAGGCCTATGGCCTCAAACCCGCCCCCCACCATACCATGGCCTGACACAATTTGGGCTCAATTAAAGACAAAGTCACCAGAGTTTGGGAGTAAGGAGGGAGCTC